AGGTGATTTGGGGAATGTGCTGATGTCTTGGGCCGCACGACACGCTGCTCACAAGACGAATGTCACTGCAACGAAGGATGAAGATACCCCTAGATATTTCATAAGTTAGGAATTCTTGTGCTTGAGTATACCATTGTCATGCACGATTTTCGGATTTTTAGTATCAAGAGCAAAACCACCAGGAGCTAGGCCGTTTGAGGTTCAGGGTGTTGGGTTTGGATCCATGCAGGTACAAAGGTGTGCGCAGACTGGAGGTGATTCCCCCTTACCCAGACCCCCTAAAGGATCCAAAAAATGGAACCCTTTACAGGGGTTTATAGGGGTCTATGTAGGGGTATATAGGGTTTAGGGTTTAGGATCCAAAAATGGAACCCCGCAATATGAATCCATTACTACATTGGGGAAACTAGGGGACTATTAGGGGGTGTCCATTTTTTGGGATCCTTTAGGGGGTCTGGGTATAGTATCAGTTGAAGGAAATAGGAGCTATACCAGCCCCTTTCTGAAGCCTCAATCCTAAACCTTTAAGGACACTGACTGGGACGGGGACTGACCCAACATAGAAAGAAGTGCCGGCTTAGCAGCCGTCTGCAACAGGTCACCGTAACTACTCCTGGCTAGCCACGCATGAGGGAATGGATCCTTCTACAAGTACAAGACCCTATAATATTCTGAATGATAACATAAAGCCAATTTTCCTTACCAGTCCCCCCACCCTAGATCCAACATGTCCCTATATAGCCTTGAAAGGACCTTAGGGCCCAGAATACTACAGTAGTTTCCATTTTCTTTTCCATTGCCCAGGGAGGTAAGGTTCTAGGTTCGCCAATAACCCCTTAAGGATACCCTTTTTCATAATGTTCAGCTTTAATAAGGAGACACCAAAACTAAAAGAAGGAAAAAGAGTACTAACCCGAAACCCTGAACCCTACATTGCCCGGGGGGAAAGCTGAAGGTTGCGGCTGAGTTACTCTTGAGGACTGCCCATCCGTAGACATAAAATCGCAGGCAGAACCTCGGCAGCAGTGGGGATGATGTGCTACAGTATGTGGAGCTATATGAGCTATAGTCTAAACTCCTAGTATCCCCCCTAATAAGACCTATCACAATCCCCTATGTCAGCCCCTACATAATCCCCCTTTTAAGGAGCTTAGACGATAGCTCATACGGAGATCTAAGTATTTCCTAAACTTATAGGGCTGTATGGGGACGTGGAACTCTGATGACGAGGTCACAGTTGCAAGGGTGGCCTTTCATGGCGTCCCGTCAGGGCTTTGTTTTGATGCGCGCCTGCACGGAAAAGTGTGATAGTTCGGCAGCACTTGGGTATGGTACTGCCCTCACCCAGTAAAAGTCGGATAACAAGTATGTGGTAATTGTAGATGCCCCCCCAATATTAACCATATACAGACTGCTACTGGGTGGGGACAGAACCCCTTAGCCATCTTCTTCCTTCAGTGAATGCAGAAATGGATCCTTATGGTAGTCCCTCTACAACCAGGTTCCCCAGTAACCCGTTAATAATAAGGGTACCAACCCCCGCGTTGTCTCCCTCTTCTTTTCCAGCCCTTCATTCCTGGCTTCCAAGACGGCTACTCAGCGTTTCTTGCACAACGTGTTGTGAACTGCCTTAGCCCCTAGACTCCTATCATCTTAGGATCTATTTTGTTGTAAATCAACCCCAAGCAACTGTTTGAACTCATGGTTCGAATGTCGTTCTTAGGGGACTCAGAAACCCTAAGCCCCAACCCCGAAGCATGCGGCAGGCAGCCCTTTTGCTTTCATGCTCAGCACTTGCAGCTTCAGACACATTGTAGGTGCTTCCTGCCCACAGTGTTGGCAGGCTTGCGGAGCAGAAATCCCCACAACCCCACGTGCCTCAAGAACCCTACTTTAGGGGCCTACATGGTTATCAACATTGTGGTCCCAAATTCTTTCCATTCTTATTGTAGAGGGTGGCTATGTAGCCTCTGTAGTACACTCTTTTCTTTGCCGCTTGATTCTCCTTTCAGAGACATCGTCTGTATCCTCGCACCTTTTTTGATTCGGTTGTGCTCTGTACACACGAAAAGCTTATATGGTCACTCCTACATGGGGGACCCCTATATAGACCCCCAAATATTATAATCCTTATCCTTATTCTGGGGACCCCCAAATTGGAAACCCCCATAGTCTAAACTTCTAGTATCCCCCTTAATACCTCCAATAATAATGGTCCCCTATATAAGCCCCTACATAACCCCCTTTAAGGAGTTTAGATTGTATAAAGAGAACAGTGTTCCACCATGTTCGAGCCAGGTAGCTTGGTACAAAGGATGAAGCGAACCTGCCACTGAACTCAGCATCCAGGTTATGCGTCAGTTTTTAGGGCTTAGGGGTTTAGGAGTTTAGGGTCTATATTTTAGGGTTTATGGGTTTAGGGTTTATATAGTCTTTATTATCCCTTACAGTCACTATTACTGGGTGGCAGGTCAACTTGAGCAATACCTATGATAAGAGAACCGGCTATATTTCAGGCATCTACTAAACTTTCCCACATGTACAAGACACACTTTAACGTTGCGGGATCACTGAACGATGACTGACCACCACCCTTTGATTGGTGATTGGTGGGATCTTGGAGTAGGGTAGCCCATTTCCCAAATAAGCTGTCAACCAAGCTCGAAGGTTGAAGCCAACAAATCCTCCCCGACTGCAATGCTTTCTGTCAAAATTCCCCGCAGGATTCTGCTACATCGTGAAGGTTTATAGGGGATATATTGGGATAATCGAAGAGAAAATGGAAACTGCTACTTAAGGTTAAGGGTTTAGGGCTTAGGGCTTCCTAAACCCTAAACCTTTACACTCCCGGAAACTAACATGGAAACCCAAAAAGGGCCCTATAAAGACTACAATCCTTTTTTAAGGGGCCTTATATGGGTTTCCATGTTAGTTTGGGGGAGTGTACAATTCACATGTTGGGCCATCCATGTCAAGTGGCCAGTCTTGTCCGCATATCAGTCTACCTTTTGCATACTGCGATAGCCCTCCTACTGCACGACTTCGTACACAAGAAGGCACCTACGCCAGCACTCCCCTAGATGAGCTACAGTCGAAACTCCTTATATACCCCTGAATGGCCCCTATAATTGGAACCCAGTAAAACCTACATAACCTTTTGTAAGGAGTTCAGGACATGGGCCATTGTTTAAACTCTACCCGTCAATAACCCCTATATAATCCACATTTAAGGAGTTTAGACTATAGCTCATATGACCCCTAAACCCTGAATCCTAAACCCAAAACTAATATAACCCCCTTCAAGGAGTTTAGACTATAGCTCACATGGCTCTAAACCCTCAAACTAAAAACCCCTAAACCGTAACCCTGAAGCCCTAAACCCCTAAACCCTTAACCCCTAAAGCCCCTAAACCCCTAACCCCCTAAACCCCAAAACCCTAAATCCTTTAAACCATCCCAGGAACTGGCGCGGTTCCAGGGCTCTGGCCCAACCTGCCAAGCTGACTCCGCAGCTCGCCAAGGTCGCGGCCGGCAGGTAGGTCCAACACCAACATTAATACCTGAAGTCATCTTTAGGGCTTAGAGTTTAGGGTTTAGGGGTTTTAGGGGTTTAGGGGTTTAGGGTTTAAGGGTTTTAGGGGTTGAGGGGTTGAGGGGTTTAGGGTTTAAGGGTTTTAGGGCTTTAGGATTTTAGGGTTTAGGGTTTAGGGTTTTAGGGTGTAAGGGTGTAAGGGTTTAGGGTTTTAGGGTTTAGGGTTTTAGGGTTTAGGGTAAAATATAGAAGTCATCCTTGAGTACATAGAGCGGTTTAGGGGTTTAGGATTAAGGGTAGCATAGAACTAGGAAAACAGAAAGGTTTAGATCATTTTGGTGGTTTCTGTAATCGATCTATGTAAGGATGACTGTGAGGTTTCCATCTCTTCCCAAGCCATGGGAAGCCGAGGAACGAGCTCCAGGACTTCCCATGCAAATCTTAGAAGAAGCCATGTGGCCATCCATTAGTTGGGTTTATGGTTTCGGGAGGATAAGGATTTTAGGGTTTGGTGCTTCTGTTCCTAGCACCATTGTCATTTCTATTGACTCTAGGGGTTTCTCTTCACATACTGCAATACAAGCGGGTTGAGACCTTAAAGAGCTGTGCAGAACCCAGACGCCCCACGAGACTGCCGCTGCTTCTGAAAAGCTTCCTGCATCGCCAGGTTCATATGATGTGCCGTGGCCGCACCAAATGCTTCGAGGTTGGCGATCCGGTCGCTTGCCTCAAAACGCACGACTCTCAAGTGCCAGCGCAGAAGATTCGCCACGTATTGAACCAGGTTTGTCGGCAAGCTTCCTTCCACTTCGACCACCCTCAGCTTGCAGGACAAAAGCACCTGCACGTAGGCCAGCCTCACAACATCCTGTGGGGTCGGTTGGGGCTCCAATGCAACATGAATCCCTTTCAGACCACAAGCCTCCCTGATCACTTCGCTTGAGATCTTCTTGGTGTTGGGATCCCATTCCAAAGATGCCAGCGGCAGCATCGCGTCTGCCAGCTCCCTTACACTTCTAACGTCGTTTAGATGCAGCGAATTCCGCAAATCGCTGTCCACGCTATCAGGATAGGAGCCATCCGCAGAGAAAAGGACAAGCGCAACAATGCTACCCCGCCCATCCCTGCCCATTACAAAGAGCGGACCGGGATCCAACTGCACCCTCTGCTTGGCTGCACTTCGCGCCACCTCCAGCCAGCTCTTGCAAACAGCGTGCTTCAGTGTTCTCATGCGTGGATCAAAATTCTGCAGCGACGCTAGATTGAACAATGTCCACTCCTCCGCAATTAACGTGAGGTGTTGAAAGACCTGCACGAACCTTACTTCCTCCTCTGGGCAGCCTGCTGAAATAACAAACTGTGGGCAGGACTCTGCCCGCTGATACCGTCGGACCATCTGATCACCGACAAACATGTCAAGCTGTGCTTCTGCGAATGAACGCCCTAATACTGGCCTTAGGGCCTCTGCCACGTCTTCCAAAGTAGACTCGCAAGGCAAGTGCGCTGATCCAAGCACTTCGCCTGCCATATTGATGCATTCCTTCGTGGTGCAAAAGCAGGACATACTCTCCTTAATCACAAATATTCTCCAAAACAGCCTAGATTCGGCATCGATGCTGTGATCCTTGAGCGCGATGGTGACTGTGAAGCATTTCGAGGCCACACCGCAAGCTTTGAGGAAGGGTACCACTTCCGCGTGACCTACGTACGGCGCTTTCCTCTGTGTCCAATTCGCATCGAAATAAGTTGACCTGGGGTCAAAGACATTCTTGGACATAGCCAGCAAGAACTTTCTGCCAGGCCCGAAACTCTCGCCTGCTGAGATGGTAAACTGTGGGCAGGACTCTGCTGGATGAAGCCCTTGGACCATCTGATCACCGACAAACATGTCAAGCTGTGCTTCTGCAAATGGAAGCCGCAATACTGGCCTCAGGGCCTTTGCCACATCTTCCAAGGTAGACTCGGAAGCCAAGTGAGCTGATCCAAGCACCTTGCCTGCCATGCTGCTGCATTCCTTCGCTGTTCTTCAACGACCTTCAAAGGCAGAGCATGTATTCCTCCTTTAATTCGCCGAGGCTGTCCAGCCTCAGGGCGTTCAGATCCCTTTAAAAACCCCCTCTACTCCCCTTTGCAAACATGCCCAACCCTAGCCCACCACCCCCCCCCCTCCATGGTGGGTGG